TCATGTACAATGAATTTCATGAAGACATGAATATTTTTTTATGGAAATTTATAAAATATATACTGTAGAATACTTTATTTTCGCTTGGAATTTATTTTCGCTATTTTCGCTGAAGGGATGATTCCGTGAAAATAAAATCCAGCGAATATACATTTTTTCCTATATTTTACATTAATCTCAACAAAAATCAGTGAAAATAAATTCCAAGCAAAACGTCCAAAATACTTTTTCAGCGAAAATTAATTCCAGCGAAAATAAAGTATTCCACAGTATTAAAACATTCACCCTGGAAGCCCTTTGTGAGGCATTCAAAGCATACCCTTGAAGTGCCTTGGTTATTGGATAATGTTGAACTCACTCAAGAATATTAATTAGAACTAATGATAATGTTCCAATACTATTTCTGGATTGGTCAATTTGAATTCTAGCATCCATTTTGATTATATTTAAAAATGTATATTTATAAAACATTTATAACAAACACCAGTTTATGCCCTTTTCTGGACTGCCATGCATCTCTAAACATGTTGTGGTTTAGTTGGTCTTGTTGTCAACTTGCAATTGAAATTTAAACATTTAATAATATTTAATAAAAGAAAACTATTTCCCATGAGCCTTTGCATGGTGTCTTCAGTCATTGGTTGAATCATGGAGCTCCATGGTTGAATTAATGCCACAAAGACAAAAGATACATCCCATCAAATTTGTTTAAAATGCTTGAAATTACGCCTCAATGAAACCTGGTGTATTGTAATCAACTAAAGTCCAGTACTGATTCTGGTAAACGACAACAATAAACCAAGATCTTACCTTCTCCAATAACCAGAATGTTGGCTTTACTAAGATTTATGCAATGAACGAGAGATTTGTCGCGTAAATTGTAGTTAATAAAGGCAGATTTAACGCCAAGTTTAGCACAACCAAGCCATGTCCAGATAAACGCTGGCTCGTTGTACATAAAGTGTGCCATGGTGTCGCCAGTTTTCACTTGGTTCCTGGCGAAGTTTGCGAACTTGTTTGAAAGTCGGTCAATCTCTTCATAGCTGTACGTCCTGTCTTGAAACACCAGACAAGCTTTCTCGGGGTTGCGTTTCTTTGCTTGTTCGAATAAATCCGACATGAAACGATTGCGTTTGATGTGGTTTCGGAATGGTTTCGCTACTGACAGCAGCTTAATCAATCCTAAAGCATCGCGTCGCCAATACGGATACGACTTTCGCATAAATGCCGCTGCTACCACGACAGTTCCTGTGGCAACTGCCGACGTCAAACTGATATCTAAAACCATGTTTATGGGAATCCGGTTCGGCTACTCGGCGGCGATCATCGTCTGCTGGGGTTCCTTGAGGTTTGTTATCTCGTGGGCAAAAGGTCCATAGATATTTCCATGGCGATACTGCGGCGAAAATGGAACGCCATGCACACGTATCTGACCTTTGACCAAGTGAATCTGATCAGCTGGTACATCACGGGTATGGTCGTAGTTTTATGGTTCCAGGTCGGGGTCCCTGGATTATGGTACGGTTTGCCAGTCGTCTGAGATTCGGGTGCATATTTTGAAGCTAGTTTTCATGTACACTATAGCCAGATTTCGGCAACCTTCACTCAATATACGATAATAGACCATAATAATTTATGTAAATTAGGCAAATATGAAAATTAACACATTTGTATTTATCGGCCTTGAATTCATAGTTTTGTTAATTGCCTGTCTATTTTTTTTAGTAATATACGCACAAATTACATATTCAGCGGTTTGTATAGACACTGATAATGAATAATGTCAAAAACACTAAAAATAACGTCAATTTTGTAATATTTCTTGCAATCAGCAAGTAATTATAGTATTATAGTAAGTAATTATATATATGATTGTTTTAACCCAAAGTCACCAAACAAAATATATAGAATAGAATAGAATAGAATAGAATAGAATAGAATAGAATAGAATAGAATAGAATTCTTTATTAATACCGTAAAAATAATGTGACATTTCTTTTTTGGTTAACGAGTTAATAAAGTTTTTACATAGTTGAGTGGACATAAAACTATCCGTGAATAGTAAGACAATTTACAATATGTAGGAATATGGCATATGTTGTTTATTTATGCCGGTAATGTATTTCTTATGTTGTACTTATGTTATAGATGTACTAGTATCATTTTGTACATTACAGCGTCCCTTCATTCTTTTAACACGAATTGTCAAATTTTTGAATTTGATGGAAATTGCACTATTTTACTTTTCGGTTGCATTCTGCCTTGAAATGGGAGTAGAGGTGTCAAAATTCTACATTTTGTCTCACTCTCACAAGTCAGGGCGACGTGAAGGAGTGCCCCGCGCATTGCCTCTCCCTCCAAAATATACTAGATTAATTGATTTACATGCGTTTTTGCAATTATATCCGGAACTTTGAATTGAAGAAATTTAAAGTAGGTATTTTCTGCGTTGGGAGTATTATTAAAAAATAAAGAATATTGTGGAGGAAAGGGTTGGTTCGATCTTCTCAGTCACGGTGGTGAAAACTGAAACGGACACGTCATCTCAACTAGAACTCAATCTCGTTTATTCGTCAATAACATACAGACATATATTTTAAATTCGTAAACAACTGATCGCGTCAAGTAACAAGTTTTAGAGCGGGAGGCGTTCTCATTGGCCAATTACAAATATGGTGTTTACTCTGACGTTCGAAACAAATATTGTCAAATTATTGGTGTGCTTGTTTCTCATGTCACATGCAACAATTGAAATACGAAAGAGAACATATAGTTATGAATAAAGATCGATAAATCATTCAAATGAATCTCCCCACAAGTATATAAAATTGCCTTTCATGAATAACACACATTATTAATCAGTATAATTAATTAAGTCACATTTCATGGGTAATAAAATATTAAACATTCAAAGTACATACATTAAATCCGTGACCATTCGTGGCCATTGCTAAAAAGTCGAGAATAATTAAGATCAAACATAGCATAACACACCCTTTACCCATTTGAGCGTTTTTTTTAGAACAGCACTACAAATATCAATACCACCGTTTACTGCTTCGGAAAGTATCTCTCTTATACTGAAGTTCATCATCTATAAATTATGTACACATATGAGTGACCAATCATGGCCATGTCACAATAATTAATATTACATATCACAAATAATAATAATAATAATAACAATAATAATAATAATAATAATAATAATAATAATAATAATAATAATAATAATAATAATAATAATAATAATAATAATAAAAAATATGTTATGCATATTGTTTAAAGCTCTAGTGGGAGCATGAAGATAGTTCCTTGAACTATCGTAACCCCTAAAAAGATTATTAAACTGGTTTTCAACTTGAAGTAATGCCAACAGAATAACATAAAATAAATAAGTTAATATACAAATTGAAATAATTAAAAATGTTAACAAATAAATAGTACATACTATATACATAAAAAGAACACTGGTACTTTCGTGAAGGGATTACAGCTTACACTCTTTCAACATAAATTCCAGTTGCCGGTACATGCCCTTCTTCTTATAGTCGCCCTCACGAATTAGGAACTGTCCATCCTAATATCTACTTCCGTCGTAAGGCAACATCCGGGTATCGCCATGTGAGCAATTCACTAAGCTTGATAGTCTCTGTGCCTTGCACGATTCTCGCATAATGTACCATACGGGAAAATGTTGACATGTGCCACAAGAACACATCTGACTCTGTGAATACAATCAACATATTTCTGCTTTTACACTAATTATAGCCTGACTCACGCCTACATGTTAGGCTACACTAATACTGGAATTAATGAAATAAGTACAACCATTTAAAGATTGTGAATGAGGTGGGCGATTGCGCCAGTAAACAGATAATCTGTAGCCCGTTGAAGTCAAATTCAATGTTTTATGCAGTTTATATACCAATTTTCACAACATTCTGACAAACGGAACACGAACAAATAAACGAACGAACGACAAACAAAACTTAGTACATGTAATAATTAATTTATACCAAATAATGTACAAAATAATAACATACATATACTGTATATACTATATATTACTATAACAGCACGTTTATTTTCTAAAGAACCAAACACATGTTCCAGTTGCTACGCACTGAGATTGTTTACATGCTTCCCACTTTATCACGTATTTTCACAACTCGGAAATACTTAAAGCGCGGTGGTCGTCGCGCAGCGCGTGTTGGAATTTCACGTAAATAAACAATGTATTTTACACGCGTTGTATACGTCGCTATGAGTCCCATATCGAACAGGACGCGGCGCGACGACTGCCGCCCTTTAATGCCACTCAATCGCGTACGTAAGAATATTTATATTTGTCAATATTCCCCGATGAAAATGCCTATGACGTCATGAATTGTATACTTACTTATACATATCTCTTGCTCAAGAAGCGCTGTATGATAATTGTCCAGCCTTAATTTATCAGGTATTTCGACTGGGAAGGACGTGTCAGTTAAATCTTCTCTTGTGACAACGTTAGAAACATTTGCTTCTTTTAAAATTGTTATCATTCCCTGTGAAGTGTGACATATTATTTTTTTTTTTAATTTCACCATAGTTTACTATCTCAATGCTTTTTATTATATTGATTAAATAATAACGTGCTTTTGTAGCATGTATTCGCTTATTTTGACAATACACATCGAAACCACGCTTACACGGCGACCGACACTACCAACACGCATATACGCAATAGCAACCAGTAAATATTCATGCAATTAGGTCATAGTTCAGTTACAATAAAACATCTACATCTACCTGACCGGCAAATTTACTCCTAGCCCCACCTTACATGTTCTCTGAACACATTAGACAACCGTATTGCGAAATAAATACATATCTAAATAAACCAATTATATACGACGTTAGGCAGTTTTAAAGCGGGAGAGTCGTCACCTGCGCATGCGTCATATGGCCATGGCGTGTCATTGTTTACAAACAAGCGTCTATCCTTGAGCCTTTGCGTTTTTAGCATACGTTGTTCCCGCGCGTGCACAGGTGTCACTAAAAAACAAGGCTATGCCAATCCGTGCCACATTGTGGCCATTCGTTTATTCTATTGTATAATGCATCAATGAACTTGGGATTAGGGTAAAGTGTCGAATTCCAAATGTTAAAAACGATGCACAGGTTTTCTAAAATACACTTTTTTTGTTCTGTTCTTGTGGTCAGTCGTTTATTTGATTTTCATCACAACTCTGTATTCTTTAGGTCTAATGACCAAATGTATCATGGAGAGGGTAACGAGAAGTTTTTCCCTCTGCAGTGGTTGCCGCTTCTAACCTGATACATGCATATCGACATATGAGAAACAATCCACGCATTCTATATTCTAAAACTGAAACCAGGTAAATCTGATATCCAATATCCATGATTATCACTCTACATTTTAGCTAATGTCAGAAAATGTCGATGTCAAATTGGTAAACTAGCAACAAACACCATATCAACCCTAATCCCAAGATCACGTAAACGCGTCGAAAACAAAAGACTGCCCAATAGGAGTATTACCAAAAATATTTGATAACATATTTTATTTATTATTGTTATTACTATTCAAACTTACTCTAGCAAATGTCGGGAGTGTAACGTAAAGAGAAGATATGTTCCTTTCTGACATCAGCGTTTTAACTTCTGTAGCTAAGACGGCTAGCCGTAATCTCAACGTGATCGTATGTTGTCTGGTTGCAGTCGTGATGCAAATAACAGCTTAAATATAAATCGAAAATAGTTAGGAAACATTAAGTACCAAACATAATAGAAGTCCATGCCAAATATACGATTGACAAGGTCTAATGAGCACAATCTAATTATTCTAAGTAAAAGTCGATAATCCAATGTAGTAACGAAAGAATAAACGAATGCCTTTGATGATAACGAATGTATATTTCAGCTAAAATTTGTAATACTGTAATAGTTGTAACAGTAACACTGCTTTTCTACACGATCTGGTATCATTCACCGTTCAAACACATTGCACTGAAATAACATAAATTTCAAATGTTTTCAATTTATTTTCTATCCTAGCTCTTTCGTCCCTTCTTCATCAACATAACAGAAAGAAGTAAAACATCAATTCAAGACTAAAACAAAAAAACACCAATAAAATAAAAAAAAATAAAAAAAAATTATGCCGCACAAAAAAATCACACAAGCATAATCAAAAAAGTGGAATGATCGAAAATCATAACCATAATACAAAGAAATATCCTTTCTCGCCACTCATCGCACAATTGGTAGTCTAGCTATTTCCTAAGAATTACTAGTAGTTCACGGCACGTGTCTCACTGTCTTTCCTACAATCAACAACAAAACAGTCAACACGTTGTTCATGGCCAATTTCTATAACCATTGTCCCCTGGGAACAAGCTGTTCCTCCAGAATTATTGGCTTTAGAGACATTGCTGATTATATGCCCCTTCTGTCCACTGGGATTTTTCTATCTATCTCATATGTCTTGCTACTTCTCCCACATCAGGGAATGCTATTCTTGTCGATTTCTCGAGGAGATCCAACACTGGTTCCGGTGATAACAATGCAGTCATTTTTGCAGGCGGCGGTAGAAAACGCACTCATGTCCTTCGCTTTCATATAATAATTTAAAAAGCTTATTGTATTCTTTAGTCATCCCTATCAACCCAATTGTGTTTCAATAACTCCGTGGCGTGCCTTCGACTTTGCAATTTGGGCATCTCTCCTCTTCATTTTTCAATGAGGCCCATTTTCACTTGGTCAGCTCCCTCATCACATGTGATTTTCATTGTGTGTTGAATCCTTGATAACTTCATACTTCGGGGTAGGAGGCTCATCGGGATGGGTTCTCTATATACCTTTGGTCTGTCAAAGAAAAGCATTCATGGTTTTACCTTGAAATTCGTTTGAACTTGTATAAGACTGTCACCAGCTTTGCAATTATCAACTGTGGGACCAACAACTTGCCTAGTATTTTTGGATGACATGGTCATTGTGTTCATTTTCCAGACAAACTGCCTAACCACCTTTTCCAGCTAGTTTCCAAATGTACTAATGATGATGTTACTCTGTATAATTCCATGACCAGTACATGACTGATACCATGACTGGCAGTCCCATCATTAAGAAATTCACGAGTTCTTTGCATAGTGACTAGTTTTCATTTAACTGAAGTTGTGTTGAATCTTTCAATGTTTTCATCACTAATGGCGTGGAATGCAGTGGTGCGTGTAATCCATATGTCCAATAATTTATCATCTCTTGAAATATTTGTTTAGTATAGTCGTCAATCAGCAATACTAACTTGTTCCTTCTGTGTGTTCTTGAATGAACCCAATACATTCAATGTAATTTTCTTCATAGGTAGTTCAATATTACACTGCTATAAGGCTCTTAGGTATTGTTTCAATCCACTGTTCATCTTCGGTTATCCTCACCTAGCAAAATGTTTCTTAAACTCATCCAATGGTTTTTGGTAACTCCTGGGCGTTGTGAAGTTTTCTTAAATGTAACACATATTTTCCCGTCATCTTGTTTATATAAACATAATATTTCGTCTTTCACAATCAATTGATTCTAAGTTTTCTGATGATTGTTAATTGTGAAATATTCTGATTAAACACTTGGCTGTGGTGGATGTCCTCCAGTATAAATTTTGTCACCTAAACTGATCACAAGACAACACATGTCCTAAACATGTTATACTTGTTTCGAACAACAAACATTTCTTGACTTCAGTCTGCCAGGTCGGTGTTCAATCTTCACAATATACACCTCATGGTCGGAACAAATGGTTATTTAAACAATAAGAGCCACTTCAAAGTGGCGTGGTCCATTTTTACTACAAACTGACGACCACATAGGTAATGTCTGAAATATTTGGTAAATAACACTTAATGCCAGTAAAATAATACTGTAGTTTTACTGAGTGTCTTGTCATGCACAATAATGTGTTTAATCGTCTTGCAATTGCAACAGTACAGCTCCAATCCCCTTACCACTTGCATCTGTGCATATGCCAGAATGGAACGGGTGTTCGCCACTCTTTCATGGCTTTCATGTTGCTAAGATCAGTACTCACTCCACTATATAATAACACATGTCCTAATATATTTTGACACTTGTCAAATGCAAATGTTACGTGCACTTAGACTTCAGTCCTGCTGTTCTCAGTCACTGAAATATTTCTTCCAATATAACAATTCTTGACACATGTTACTTCCAAACACTATAGATAGAATACAGGATTGTAAATCACACAGTGTCCATCATTCACTCAAGTGTACAGGGTGAATGAAGACCATTCGATTGGTACAGCCGCAAAATTGACTTTAATAACACATCCAGGTTAATTTCCACCTGCAAAAATCTTGATGCCATATCCATATTGAAAAACATTGAGCACCAGACAAACTGCTAAAAGATGCATCAAACCTTGGTGGTGGATATGCGTTTCTAGTTGTTACCTCATTCAACTTGCCTAGTCCAAGTAAAAACCTTGTAGAGCGATGTCTCTTTTTCATAAGGATTGCGAGGATAGCCCATGGCTGATGTAATTATTATAAGAATGCAAATATCCTCTTTTTAGTGTTATCGGATCCAATTTTAATTCTAGTAATGTCTTCTTCTTACTAACTTTAGTGCCTAGCTGTAATGAATCACCTCCAGCTTGACGTTAGTTAGCCATATCAGTACAGGTCGGTATTGTTATCCTACTATCAATTTGGGTATAAGGCTGAATTGCCATATCCTCATCATCAGGCATCTAAAACTTCAAAGTAATTGTTTCTACTAATGTCACACAATGCATCATTGATCTTAGCGCTAGATGTAGATTACAGACTGAATTTTACTTTTTATTATACACCAAATAATTGTTCCATCACATCTAAATAATGACCAACTAATGGCCATTAACAATCTGGGTTTATAACACTCAGTTGATAAGTCATGTCATACTCAACGGTCACTTGCAAATTTAGTTAATTACCCATTGTGAATAAAACGCCAAAATAAAGTTTCCTTCATCTAGTGAAACACACGATCAGTTGGCAGTGCATAGGAAACATATACCCACACCATATATTTATCTGCTTCAATGAAGTGGTTATTATCCTCATTATCTTCCACGGACTGATGGTGATCTCAGTATTTTTGTTTTGTTGTTGTAGCTGGTTTTGCTACCTGCCATGTAGCAGTCAATCGCTTCTTCACATTGTCAGTAACGTGAGCTCTGCTGTAATGGTGTATCCTCCATTTCTTTAATCGTCCCAACAAATCTTTGATTTCCCCAAACTTACTTTTCGTTGACCAACTCAGAGCGATTATGTCAGTCGTCCACTAATCCAAGTTAATCTCGCTAGCCCTATCATCTCGTGAGTGTACAAATAAATCATGTCAATATATCACTGTCAAGAGCCGAGGAAGTAACTCCCTCAGACACTAAGCATACACATTCTGAATAATGATCAAATGAATAAATCCCGTATACCAACATTCAAGCGTTTGATAGACTCACAACTGTAAGTAAATCCAAAAGGTATATAATCTCCTAATAATCCAATCTGTGGATTAATCTAAGGGTCGTACATAATAACTAATGTCCAGAATAATCACTACATTTTTACTCAACTTGTTATGCCCATTCACGAATTGTATTTGCCTTACTACCAAAAACACTAAACTGTCAAGTAATTTATTCATGACCGCTATATTTACACTTATTTGGTCGCATCAATAATGGAGTTCAAGTTTGCAACATCGCGTCATTATTTTAACCTTTGGCTTAGAGGTCCCAGCTACCTAATTATGTGGCGTCTTTCTACTTTTTAAGAATTCAACTACACGTGCTGATGGCCAATCTTCGGGGTTAATCAATTTGTTTCACACTGTACAACACTCTTTCACGTAACCAATTGTCAATCAAATTCAACTATGTGGTCAGATTAGTATGAGAGATATAGAAAGCGGTATTTATCTTACTCTTCTCCAGTTCTGTTTCTCCAATGCATACTTATAAATGGTTTGCCGTCAAAAACAACTCGTGAGATGTCGTCTGCCAGTTTACGGACTTGCGCAGTTCTCATTAGATGCCTGTCGACCATCATGGAAATTTCTGGCGGGGTTTCAAGCTTTGTGAGTCTGTAAGGCTCGAAAGACGCGAGACATTCACAAGAATGCGCCAGTTCAAGACTTTCTTTCTGTGCTTCTGGTGTTCTTGGAATACTATCACTATCAGGAAGTTCAATGTCATACTCCAAAGTGAAACTTTTACTCCATTTTTCATAATCCTCGATGTAGACTTCCATCGACTCCGGCACACTAAACGGAGTCATAATTATGCAATCCACAGTTCTATTACACACGTGACGAAACTCTTCAACTGAGATTAATTCAACTAATTCATTTATTTTATCAATATCAAAAGTCTCATTAACAAATTTCCTGCCACGTTTGTCTGAGTAATGAGCCTTGAACCACATTTCCACCAACGTTCGATTTTCTTGAGTGGCATACTCCATGGCTGCCCTGAACGAGTGGTATTGCCAGTTTGGGCCATTGTTATCTGCGTGGACTGGTAATACGTACCGACGTAAAGAACTCGGCTGACTCTGTTTCTATGGAAACAATAAGAAAATAAATAGTATTTTGTTTCAAATGACTGTAATCATTATATAATATACAAAAATGTAACAACAAGCAGCCTGTCGGCTGAGATAGTTCCACTGTTATCAATGCACATGTCAATTAAAGAACTGAAGATATCATCAGAAAATGAACAATATGCAATCGGACTTGTTGTTTTCAATAAAAAATCGAAAATATAACTTTTTATCAAATATATTCATCAAAATTAGATAATTGAAGAAGAAAATCATCTCGAAATGAACAAATCTGAGAGAGGTCTACCTGTAGTACCTATATATGTAATATCAAAGCAATTGGGCCTGCGGTTTTTAACAAGAAGTCGAAAATATCACTTTTTACCAAAAATGACAAAAATATTCATGAAATTTAGAGAATTAAAGATATTATCACGAAATTAACAAATCTGAGAGAGGTCCACATGTAGTACCTAGATATGTAATATCAAAGCAATTGGACTTGCGGTTTTTAACAAGAAGTCGAAAATATCACTTTTTACCAAAAATGCCAAAAATATTCATCAAAATTAGAGAATTGATGAGGTCCACCTGATGTACCTACATGTACAATATCAAAGCAGTCAGACTAGCAGTTTTCAAGGAGAAGTCGAAAATATATATTTTTTACCGAAAATTACAAAAATATTCATCAACATTAGAGAACTAAAGATATTATCACGAAATGAACAAATCTGAGAGAGGTCCACCCAAGGTACCTACATACCAAGTATCCAAG